ACGTTCTCAGTCGTTTTAAGCTGGGTATTAAAAAGATATTGTAAAATATATTTTCGTTTGAATTTTTTAAAGTATATCTGGTCGGTAATTATAAGTTGGTTTGATAATGAGTTTTTGTTATTAGGTCTGAGATTAATTTTTAGGTTGTAGATTAATTCATTAAAAAGTTTTATAAAATCTTTCTATTGAACGGAATTGTACACAAATGTGCTTTGATGAGGTCTTATTACAATTTCCAATTATTTTTCGATATTGTAGCGAATATCGGCAAAAGTCACATAGATATAGTGTAATAGTATAAAAAACACCCAAATTTTATTTCAATCTATAATGTTAATATTCTTATACTGATTCAACTTATGTAGGTATATTTTCATAAATTATACATATATATTTTTTAAACTTGAGAATTGGGATATAAAATATTGGTTTATACAATTCATTTTATGTTATTTTCTTGTTAGGACTCAAAGTTTTTATCATCAAAGCATACGAAAAAATCATAAAAATTGTTAATCACATTACACTGGTATTAATAAATACTATAGATTTTTGAAAATTAAATTTATGCACTGAAATAAAATTACTGCGTTTTTCTCAGAATATTTTACAGATTGTGATTATTATTTTTAAAAGCAATTTAATAATACAGCACTATATTGCGGCAGAATGAACACAGCGATATAAGTGTCTCATATCTTGTAGTATTTAAAACCTTTTCACTTTTGTATACAGTAAAATACATGCTACATCATTGTTGAAAAAAAATTACTGTTAATAAAACACCGGGTAAAAACACCAATTTAAGAATGAATTTTAGTGCTCTTTAGGTTTTGAAGATAATATATTAAAATCTGTGTATCATTATTTCACTGTTTAATTATTAATCTGAAATGACTAAAAATGTATAATACTGTAATGTTGTGGAAATTATACCTGACTATTGAGTTCGACAACTGAATATAATCATTATGATCGGACATTTAATACATATTTTATAATTTGCTTTTTTCTTCATAGTCAACTCTCCACGATAATTAGGTTCATGTAAAGCTTAGTTTAAAAAATGCATTTAAAATATTATGTTAACTTTTCTGTCAGTACCTTGCAATATTAATACATTCACCATAACAATTATTTTTGATATTATACTACAGACTTAATGTTTTCAAACACAATAGGTATAAATTAACTATTGAAATATTTATTTTAAGGTAATAATTTAGCTTAATTTATTTAAATGAGATTCAATGAAAAACAAAAAAAAAACAAAAACACGCGACTTATGCTATTGTTTTTTTAATCATGCAATTCTATTTTTTTAACCCATTATAGGGGTAATATAGATTTGGTGTGTAAAGCATTTTATTTCATATTTTTACCAACATTTTTTCTCCACAAACAAATTAAAATTTATTGATTCCATTATAGCCAAAAGTTACATGTTATTTAAGAATGTCAGTTATAATTTAGTAAACAATTATTAGTTTCACTTAATGTAATTTGTTCGCTTTTATACTTTAAAAGTTTTATTCTTGAACTTTTAAATTTTAAGTTTTCCGATAATTCTATTTTATCTTTAGTGGAAGGTATTGGTATGAAATTTTAATTCACATACAATTTAAAAAAATGATTTTCAATAGAAAATATATAATCAGATATATAGTACCAATTATTAACTATCTCTCTATTATACAAACTAGTTTAGAAAATAATGTATAATGCTTGTAGGTATTAATTTTCATTCAAATTTTTTATAAAGGAGTTATAAATTCTCAGTTCGCAAAATAAAGATTTGAGTGGTTGGGGGAGCGTATCGACGTGGTGGTGAAACGTGAAGGGTGGCGAAGTCCCGTTGTAAAAGTATAAAACATAAATATTTATGTAACAAAATATCGATGAAATGATAGATATAACTAAAGACGTAATATTTATTTATTCTATTTTCTATTATTATTTCGTTTATATGTTTACAATAAAGAGCAAAAACTGTCCAATTGTTGTCTAGTAATTGTTAAAGAATAATAGACGGACTTCAAGAACCCAGGGAACCCACATGTGTCAATAAAATTCCAAAGCTGGTTGCATTCTAAAATAATATTATTTTACCCTATACTGGTATACACACATTACAGGAAAATTTACAATATCCGTTATAAATTTATTAAAATCTCATACTATCGTTGTATTATAAAAACGTTAACATTGCATTCATGTCTATATCTGTCATATTTTAATGAAGTAATTGTACTAAATACACACATTTACAAAATATTATTTAAAGCTAGTCGCTATTTTATTTATAACCATAATTCGATTAATCGGATTTTGTTATTTAAAAAAAATAGCAATATTTGTCTTATGGTATTAAAATATGGGTTGAATTGATTTTTGGTGTTTTCCTTAGTAAAATATCACAATCATGTTATGGCATTACGACATGATGAATGTGTATTTTTAACTTAACTATTGTACAAGAGAATTTGTCTGGCTTATAAGAAACAAGAGCACAATTGACCTTTGACATTTATCGTACCATTATCGATCCTTGTCCTGTTCCTTCCCTTTTAATATAGACCACGTGTTGACTTTTTAGAACCCCCGGGGCACTTTTACCTCTTCATAAAAAAAAAGATAAATGTTAAAAAACAAAAATGCTCAATTATGTACCTACGATCTATTGTTATTAGACGCCATTTCACTGTGTTATGCATGAATTGTATTTATAATATACTACATCGTTGTATAAATTATGTCTAGTATCTATATACAGGTACTATAGGTGCATAGGTAGGGCCGAATGTTGTACCGACGACTGACAGTTCACCACTAAAAAAAGGTAACCACATCACTGGAAATGTAACGGTGGTTCAATGATTATTAGGGCTTCGATTTCAATTTCATTTTGTTTATTTATGCAGGACATGCGAGCTTATAAAATCGAACAGCTAAAAAAATAAGAATACATCAATACTAAAGAAACACATTCGTGTTTTTTACCATTCACATAAAATTTACTTACGCTTTTTTTTGTTATTTAAAGCTCAGAGGATACGATAACTTATAGTTTTTACAACCCCTAAAAAATCCTACAATTTTTCTTTTTTATTGTTAACGATCGTTTAATTGTATGCCATTACATTTAGTTTTACCAGATATAACAGTGAAATTAAAAACCAAAAGTATTTTGTATTTATGATGTCTATAATCCTTGCAGTCAACATAATTATTAATGATTCTAGAAGACGTCCTCTCATGAGTTGGACAAAAAACCTTGAGATTTACGATTTTGGCGACGTTTTAATATTTTTGAACTGCGAAACTCTGTGTAGAAAAAAAAGAACTAACACGCGGTACTGATACAAATCACGTTTCCACACGATTTCTTTGCCAGACTGCGGTATAACTAGCGAAACAAGCTTTTGGCTTAAACACTATAATACACCACACCGCTATTGTTTCGTTTAGCAAATAATATTAGCATAGGGTTTTTGGTTTTATGTTCGTTGGAAACGCAACCATAATATATATCTAGGTCAAAGGTGTAGACAAAAATCGGTACCATTACTTTGAAATATTGTGCGTACTCAATGTAAATTATTGATATCGGTAAGCATTAAAAATAATATAATATAAAATAATATTTAACGCACCTATAATATAGTTAAGAACCTGTAATAAGAAAAAAATTTAACAACAGGTGTTACTACATAATTGTGTAACATTTTACAGGCTTTTGGCGTGTCCGAAAACGAGTGGTTTAAAAAAAGCTACTTCTCATCATCATCATTATTATTATTGTTTTTAAGTTTTTTTTTTAACTCCACCAGCCGTGGCGCCCGAAATATGTTTATCTGCTCAAATTCACAGTGACGTGGACACTATGCCAAAAGCTAGAGAGATTTGCATAATCTAATAAAGGAAATCTGTCAGTGCATTTACGCGGAACATTTATCCCGGACAAGCTAAGAGTGCATTTCCCGGGCAAAATGGGCCGTTTGTCGTCTCTACATATATATTATGCGTCTACGAGGGCTGTTCCGTTAGAAATTACACCGCGAAATCGTTTAACGTGTTATTACAACACCACCGTTACCCACATCCACCCTATCGCGGTGATCGCAAGTACTGGCGACCATAATGCAATATCCTCTCTTCAATCAACACACTGCATATCGTACGTCACCATAGCAACAAGATTAGAAGCTCGGCAGGTGAGACGGAGAAAAAGTAAAAACGAAATCTCGTTACCTACCCACACTAGGTGTGTATAATATTATTCTTGTACGAACCAATAATATCGTACAACGGCCGATAGACGAACGCCAGCTATTAATTTGTCATTACATTACTATAATATATTATGCCGTGTACCGGCGGCCGAGGAGTGTATACATTTTTTCACAGTGATTTTCGCGTTTAATGTAAACTTCTGTCGTTTCGAAAAAAATCAAAGGTCAAACTACTCGCGGAGACCACGACTGTGTTCCCTAACCTTTCCAAAACAATACTTTCCCTATCACACGTCATTAAAGCAAAGTGCTTACTATGCGTAATAATAAATTATGTGTTATGTTATTATGTCGTCGGCTACGAGAGCATAATAGTGCGACGGCCCACTCCGGGTTTCGTGTAAATAATAATAATAATAATATGGCGTTTAACCCGTCCGCCTTGCAGCAGGTACCTGCGGCGACTGAAAAATACTCGCGGAATGTGCCTACTACAATTCCACAGACATGCATCACCCGACGGTGGACGGTTAGAATGGAATCAAAAAAAAGATGAGGATAATAATATGATATTATATTGTTATGGGTATGTCTCGAGAAACCCGGATTGTAGTATCAGAAACAAGATAATGAAAAAAGTATACAATAATGATAAATTAATAATTATAATATGATGCGTCAGAAGATCGACCGGCCAGCGAACGTTCGGCGTCCGTCGGCCGAGGCGACGGTGACGGCGGCGGTTACCTGTCCGCCGTGCGTTTTTACCTGGCAATCGTCGTTGGACCTTTTGTCTCAGTGCCGCGCCGACGACGGTGCACGGTGCGCCCGCACGACACGCAATCCGTCGCAATCCACCGCGGGCCGCAGCCGCACCACCATTTCGGTGTGCAGTCCGTCTTGTCGATGGAATTGCCGACCACTCGTCCGACGGTTGACGGTCGCGGAAGACGGTGACGATTCAAATATTATACGGGTACACGATAATACGTGTGTGCATACGATTTGTATACGATGGCGAGTAACCAGAACGGACGAAAAGAATTATTTAAAAAAAAAAAAATAGAACGAATACGAAATAATGACGACGGCGGCGAATGACAACTTGCAACGGTCGGGTACTTGTCGTCGGCCGACCGAATGAGTGGAATGTAATAGTATAGCGATTTCGACGATGATAATGATAATAATAATAATAATAATATTAATAGTAATAAAAAAAAAAAAAATAATAACAATGTTAATATATAAAAACGACAATAACAACAACAACTACAACAACGACTAAGACAACAATGACGGTAATAACGATGATAAAAAAAAAAAAAATAAACTTAAAAAAAACCCGCTACACACTGGCCGTCGTCGTCGACAGTAGGCTTGCAGACGGACGCGGCCGCATTACTGGGGCACGTTCGATTTGGGCGAAAACCCGTGTACGCGGACTACGACCGTTTTCCGACAGATGGCGGAATGCGCATGACCAAATATGACCCCGGTCGCGGCGATGGGGTTTATTGAACAACAAACACGCGCACAACTCACATATTCGCTGGCGGCGGCGGCAGCGGGGAAGTCGTCGTCGTCGTCGTCGTCATACTCGTCGTAGTCGTCTCATCGTCGTCGTAGTCGGCGGTGGCGGCGGCCGTAGGGGCAGCGTCGGCCCACAACAGGGGCGGGGGTGGGTGTAACGAGAGGAAATAATAAATAATAATAATAAAAAAAAAAGGCAAAATCACACAGCCATCTATTCTATTTCCGAACCCGACCGTAAGCATCATACAATATTTTACGCGTAAGAGTTAATATTATAATAAAAAAAAAAAGTAATTAAAATAAACGTGCAAAACCATTAAATCCGTTATGATCGCGTGATAACTATTCGATCGTCTTAATAATATTACAATATTAATAATATCCGTCGTCTTTGTTATCATCACTATATACCTAACATTATTATGTATGTGTATACTATACTTGCGGCCGATAACGGGATTTTCCTACACACCCGGCCAGCCGACCCTCCGGTGCCGCCACCACCCGCACACACCCACCCAGCCGTACGGCTTATAAAAATATTTGTTACGTTTGTTCTGCAGCACAACGCTACACGTATTTTCGCATTTCGGTTTTACGTAAGCCGGCGCCTCGTGTATGCAATTCGTAGTGCGCCGATGCGCCGGTATACGCACGAAAACCAATTCTAACTAATTGCATACCGGCCGTACAGTTTTATACGTTTTATTATTACTATTATTATTATTATTATTATTATTATTATGACGCCGGCCTAATAAAGTCGGGTACACCTCAAAATGGCCGTTGGCTATATTCCGTTGTGTCATGATGATAATATAATATAAATTATAATATAATAATATATTATAACACGGTACACTCGCCGTATATTATATCGATCGCCGTCCGCGTTATTTATCGCCGTTTTATTTTGTTTGTTTTTTCGTCCTGTCGCTGCAGCGCGTATAACCCGCTCGCGGGTTTCGCTCGAAATACTCCCCGGAGGGTCAAGTCGAGCGAAAAATAATTATCGTTGTCACCCTTAGGCGCCCATACGACCCTGCGGCGGCGGTATCGGAAAAGTCCACCGCGGCGGTGGTCTAGGACACGAGTGCGTGCAAAGGAATAGTGATTTGTATTCTATAGACCGACGTGCCTGTGTATTATGACTGTTTTTTTTTCTTTTTACTTTGTTTACGATATAATGCATTTTAGATATATTTTATTTTCACAAATGTATACCCCGTAATTTTATACACACATCTCGAGGGCTTTTACAGAGCACGTATTATGCGACACTGTCGTCGTATTTTTGCACATAACACAATAAATGGCGACGTGTTTCACCTAATCTCAACGGTTTAATATCTACATTGTTTAACTGTAGGTTTTAATTTAATTTTAATTTCGATCATTTGAATATTTTGAAAAATTCATTTTTCCTTTTTTAATTTTTTTATTCAATATAGTAGTTGTCTAAGTAACATCTGTTGTTGTATAAGACCGTAATGTGATGCGTATAGTTACGAATCGGGTGCATCCATACACAATAGAGCTATGTTATTTTCAATTATTTACACAGAAATTCGAAAATGTTAAGTATTTGCTACAATAAATGAGTGACATAAAAGTATAATCATTATTTATACTGCGGACAATAATGTACATTATTCCTATTATTTCGTAATGAACATTACAACTGATGTGTGTAGATAGTGACTTATTTTAATTTTAAATAAAAGTAAAATTAATATTTTTAAATGCCTTTGGTAATATTGATACCCTTCAAATATTTTATATAAAGGAAATAAAATCAACTTCCTATTATATTAACTATCTTTAGAGAATTTTTGAGGATCTTTCAGAAATTTCGTTTGATCCTTGAATAAAAATGACCTAGTTTTCATAAACAACATGCATTTAACACATGTATTATCATCGTTAAAATATGAATATGAATAATTATGTAAGTAGGTATAGTTATCATAATATTATAGTATTTTAATAAAATATTGCATTTTTTTTATGGAAAAATGTATTGCTACAATGTCATTAATGTTAATACTCAATAGTATAATAATACACAGTTTTTTGGAAAACGTACACTATATATCCATTATCATAATATGCTATTCACATGACATAAAAAAAGGAGATCCGTTATATATGTATTAAAGAGACTCGTATACACAAGAATAATTGTATTATTGCTTACAGAATCTATATTTTACGGAATATTTCCTTTTTTATAAAAAAAATATTTATGTATTGAATGAATGTCATTAGTAAAATAAAACATACAATTTCAGTTTTTAATTTAAAATTTTTTATGTGGTGGTCGTTAAGTGTCGTTTTGAGTTTAGACGGTGACTTAAGCTTGTAAGATTCATTAAGAATTGTTCCTTAGTCCCTACGCGTATAATATTATGTTCATCGACAATACGGATATTAATACATTAATATTATTATTATTATATGTATTATGATTTTGGTGTTGAAATGACTAGTTAATATGTCATTCGAATAATAAGTAATTTAATTTCCTTTGAAAAACTTTAGTATTTCAAAGAAGGGGATCAACAAAACTCAGGCCTTTGGGGATTCATTATAGAGGATAATGTGAGTGGAAAAAGTTTCCAGTGGGATTTGAAAACTTGATTTCAAACGTTCCAACATGGAGTAATGTTATTTTTTAATCCCTCGTCACTCGATAACAACATAATGGAATTGAAATCCAATTTTTATCCTCCAATACGTTATGGTACCCTACTGCAGAAGTCAGTTTTAGAAGTTTCCGAAATATTCGCCCCGCAATGAAAATTACGCATTGACATTTTCATAGAATTTATTATTTTATTGGAATTCGTTATGATGTATAAGAGAGTCTCACTCTTGTTCGTTTTTTTTTATTGTTGCCGATAAATAAAATTATTCTTTATATAGGTAACATTATTTCAAAGGAATAACGTTTTTTAACGCTACATTACACAAATATTAAAAACAACATTATATTGTTTAAGCCATGAGAAAACATTTTTTTAAGACATGTCTCGCTATTAAAATCATCAATCAACTATTAATTTGTAATTGTCTTCTCTTCCGTGTGTATTGATTTTAGATTCTGGAAGGAAAAAGAGAAAGCTGTCGCTTTAAAATGATGTATGGATTTTTTTTTCTAGTAAATACTTTTCGGCTTAGTGCGAATATAACCACAACATTTTGAGTAACGTGCGCACGTGATCAAAAATTGTACTAGTATTAGTTAGTGTGTGTTGAGAATAAAAACGAAAATTGTTTTACAAAAAGTCATTAGAATAAATTTGAAAATTTATCTTAAAATCCACCATAGTAACGAATGTTTTTTTTAAGGATGAGATCTTAAAAAAATGATTTAATGAATTTCTCACACGTCCAGGCCATTTGGCCATATGTTACACAATTTTTAGGAATATCGGTTCCGAACGATATTAAGCAGATATAGCAGATATTCAAACAAAAATCTAAAACTAACTCATGTATTACAAATTCCAGATACTTGTGTTCTGAGTGGAGCTGAGTAGTAAAAATGCTTTGAACATTGAGGTTGGTTTCTGGTAACAAATTGGATCTAGTTGATACTGGGGTCAAAAATTTAAAAATTAAGTGCTTTTCAGAATAACCGAGAAAAACTTAAAATTTTACTCAAAACCAGATTTTGACAAAGTTACTTTTTATTGTTGTAACTTAAAAATGAAAAACTCTATAGACTTGATATTTTCACCGAATATTCATATCAGAATTTACTAGTCATGAAATAATTTTTTAATATATTTTGGACATTTTTGTGTTAGTTATATAATTATATTCTAGCTTGTTATTTATATGTTCAACTCTTTCTAGTTATTTTTGATAAATTATGTATGATAAAAATTTTGTATTTGAATAAAAATAAAGCTTTAAAATGACCTCCTAGTACAAGGTTCCTCATAAGATGCTATTTCTAGAACTAAAAAAACTTAAGTTCCATTCCACAGGTATTTTTTATGATTGTCTGCAATTTAAATTTTGACAAAATTAGATAATCACGCCTAAAATAATGGTTTTCTTATTTTGTTGTTATTCAAAAATAAATAACTCTTGATACTTGAGATATTTTGACCAAATATATATTAGAGTTTTTTATACAAGGTATTAAACAATAAATTATATTTAAATATAATTATTGACATCTGACATTTTTGATTTTTTTAGTATTTTTTCTATAAATATCTATAAAAATATTGTGTTCGGTCAAAAACCTTGAAAAATTAATAACATTTTCTTATGGGTTATTATAGTTCTATAACAATATTTAACATACATAGACATGTTTTTTTTTTTATAAACATTTGAATAATTAAATATTCAAACAAAGAATAACAATTTTTAGTTATTTTGTTGTAATTAAATGACGGTATTCGTGGGACTTGAAACTTTTACATATATACTATTAAAATATTTTCAAACCACTTGGATTTATTGTATGTGATAACTTATTTACACCATTTTCCGATAAACCGGTTGACCAAAAAGTTAACAGCAATTGTATATAGTATAAATACATGTAACCGTAGTAAATAAATATTAATAATATAATAAATGCAATGTTCTCGACAAAAAATTAATTCTATAACAGCAATATATCGTAAAATATACTTAGTAATATAATACATAGAGTATAGACTGGCCGGCCACCGCTTTGGCTCAAAATCGATTTTTGTATTCAATGATTGATCATTGAATTTAAATTTAACACATATACAGTGACTTACTCAATGACGAAGTACAATCAACACCTATAGTTGTACATCAGTGGCGCAGATTGATTACTACTTTACTCCATTTTTAAAGTATATTTATTAATTTACTAATTAGTATAATATTATACAAAGCATTGGTCATGCTTTTAATAATAACCATTAATCAGTGACATCTATCATGATTTCGGTAAGGTTCCTCCAAGAAATAATGGTGAAAAGAACTTATATATTATTATTATAATGTTTTGTAATTGCGATTGAATATTCAGTAGTAACTTGTAAATAATTTTATTATAAATAGAAAAACCGATAATCTCGCAATTATAATATTAAAAACATAAATACTTGGTAAAATATTTAAAAGCGCGCATAGTTTTCACAGATGTGGACAGTAATAAATAATTGCCGATTTTAAGAAACAGTTTTATTATCGTTTTAATAACGGGGCACGACGATATGCCTTAATCATATTTACAAGACGTGAATTTTGGTCACTTGCGTTAGAAGAGACGATGATGGTGGTAGTGGAAGCAGCGTCAGTGGTGGCTGCGATTGATGTACCAGCCTTGGTAGAGGTATTGGTGGAGGTGATTCTGGCGGTTGCTGTCGAGGTGGAGGCGGGAGGCTGTTTCAAGGTCCGCCTGTACTCGGTGAAAGCGTTCCGCTGCAAGTCGTACGCCGAATCGTGAATTTGGAACCCATAAAGCTTGGCCACATGCCGGCCTTTAGGCCTTAACGGAATGTACTCCGGTCGTGTCATCAACACCATGTGCGGTAAACCGGTGCCAAAGTATGCGCCGTCCACGGCCGCCCCTTTTGCCCCTGGTGGAGGGTTGTACACGTCCATGCACCGGGGACAGTAGATTCTCACGGTGTTCTCCCCGACCACGTCGTCCAGCCCTATACGACAAACGACATTCGGTCAACGTACACCTTGGATGTAGGACGGTAACCATATCATAGGCTTGTCCACGGATCGCGCCAAATCGTGAAGGTATAGCCCGGCGATTCAGGCACTACCTGAGAAATTTGACTAAACGTGGTCAGAGGGTGGTCAGTTAAATGTATAAGACATCCATTAACATTGTTGTGGCCCGTATATATAATCATACCGTAGCTGGTGGCAGATGGATATAAGGATATAAGGATCATAAATAAATGTAATAGGACTCTAATCTGAATATATTTGTGAAATAAAATAAAATATATTTAAGGACTCAATTTCCGCTTTTATTACGTTTCATTGCCAGAAAAATATTTACAAACAATATAGGAACTTACGAAGTAGGTAAATTAAGTTTTACAAAAATGGGTGGCTGATTTCAGAGTTTAGTTATATATGAAAGGTATATAATTTTTACAGTGAACTTCCGTTTTTACATCATATATTCATAAATATTGCCGATAGGCCTCACATTTATTGTGTATAAATATTAAATATATTATTGTAGCAGTTAGCACTTCAGCAATTAATCGTATTGAATCACAGAACCACAAATCTCCTGTCTACGATTAAATTACATCCAAACTCGTAGTCCATCTTACAAAAAAAGCTATACTACTTAGCCCAACTAAATCTGCTACCCTCATAACATACAAAATGGGGGCATGAGGTTTGAAATTAAACGAAACTAAATCTATCCACTCTACTTTTATACTACCTCCCAGAGACTGTTCAATTCATCTCAATAACCAACCCAAAACTTACCATCCAAATGTCAAATATCTTGGGATAACCCAAGATTACTTGCTTACTTAGGCCCCTCACATTCGTTCCAAGTATCCAGCCCTCAACGATCGCAGCCGCGATCTACGACACCTATTTATCTCTTAACATATCTACTACAAAATAAACTCCTTATATACATAATGCTACTCAAACCAATATGGGTTTATGGTATTCAACCTGGGGGTCTGCAGCAAACCCTACTAAGATTAACAGAATACAAATTTATCAGTCTAAAATTCTAAAACAAATCACTAAAGCTTGGATTCCGTTTTTAATCAACCCTCCACCATGACCTATCCTTATCCTTTGTTGCTGATGTGGCAAAACAAATATTAAAGATTTCATGATCGCTTCTTAAATCACAGAAATATACTCATAAATTATATTTCTTCTTTATCCATGTCTCTTAATTTCCCTATTCTCAAACGGCTTAAGCGTAAATGGAGCAGAGACTTTTGACTAATCAAAACCTATTCTCTCAAGCCATGGAGGATCATCAATGAATGGTTTCTCTGTTAACGTTACCCAATGATAACTAAAGCAATCTCCTAAATACTTGTTGTAAAAATTAATTTACAGATTGTATAATAAAAACGGATAAAAAAATAATATATTTAGCTTAAGCTCGACCTTCAAAAGAGATCTGGACACGCCTAATTGGTAACTATCATTATAATGTAACCACTTGTGGACTTAATTCTTATTTTTAACAACTCTCCAACGAAATAATATGTCATAGTCAGCATGACGAAAGCCTTATGATAAATAGTGTTTATGTGGAATATTATTATTTCTATCAGTAATGCTTTTCACGTGACTTTTAGGTTTTTGTCGTTAGTAAAAAACGAACAGATGACTAATAAAATGTCTTACGACTCATACGGATTATGCACGTACGACGTACGGAATTATTATTTAAATCATATAAACTCACATAACACACTCATATTATTGTTACACACATCTCCGTTGATTTATGCTGCGGGGAATTCAACTCGTAGTAGCTTTATCTTTCCTAGACGTTTTTTAAATGCGCTTGCGTTAGATCTGTGTACTCATTAAAATGTAGATGTGTGTATGAGATCCCTACACCACTAACAATGTATATTTCTCTGCATTTGAAAGAATTGAGAGAAAATTCATAAAAGTGGGAATTACGTGGACACTGCAACATCGTATCTTACTCTGTGAATAACGGATTTAGCAAGGCACTGTATTAACCAGCTGAATAACACCTAACCAGTTAAAATAATTATTTCACATATAATCATCGTATAAAATATATTGTTAAAATCGTATCAATTACCGAATCCGATGCCCGTATTATTATCATAATGTTATTAAACGATTATTGCAAACGTCAGGATGACACGTCAGTAATGAAATAAATAATTCATGCTATACGAAAGAACGAAAGAGCTGATGTCAGCCCATCGAATAATGCAGTTGTTGAGTTTACGTTGTCACTTTTTAAGTCAGGTTAAGTATTTTATGACGGAGTGCTCATTTAATAGTTCAGAAAAGAGTACATTCCATTAATTTCTATTATACCTGTTGTTGAATATATTCCAATTGGCGTCGTATGGTATTTAGTAACTTAGATAATTAAAAAGTATAAAGGTAAAGAATAAATCAACATTATGATGTCAAAGACACATAATTATAAAATATCGATTGCATAGAAATTAATTACGAATTCCATTTGGCTGTGATTTATGTATTATTTACGGTGGTTGTTCACGTATTCGACGATTTTGCCAGAAAAACTGATGTATTCGACACCTGCGCAACGATGAGGGTATATTAATATAATATAATTATATTTCAAGTTTATCGAGCGGAGCATGTGAGACTTACCGACAACAACAGACACAACTCGTCGCGCCGTGCACAGTATTATAATATACAAGCTCTCAAAACGGAAGCGGATCTAAGACTTGGCGAAAACTAAATAAATGTATGGCGTAAGTAATGGTCACAGTATCGATGGCTACGATGGAGAAGAAGTAGGAGTAGGAGTAGGAGGAGGTTAGGTAGTATTCATAATACTTTATTATACGGTATATACTATTATGTAAAAGCTGAATATTTTAAAGGTAAACAGTAAGTACAATAACATTGTTCGAAAAGTATAAACGTTATAAAAAATATTTAAATTTTATTTATAATATGAATAGTAATCATTACAAAACAATATTTTTGGTAAAAAAAAAACTATATTTGTATCGTTATCGTTTTATTAACTTTTTCCTCTTTTGAAAGGCAGCTTACATTTTTTAATTACGTCATATTCCAAAGCATATTTTTCTGAGAATTTCAATCAATAAAAATTAAATTTCGAACGACTGGTTAAATACTTGTAAGTTTTAATAACTAATTACTCGTTCGCAGTTCTATTTGTATTTTCATTTAAATTCTTAGGAAAAATATTCAATTTCTTATTGAAAACTAGTAAAAACTATAATAACGACACAAAATAAAAATAATAATTGTTAGCACAGCAATGCAATTTTATTTACTTGTCTTATGAGTTATGAATATTGATATACGATATTGTAATGTATAGTATACTAGCTGTATTAACCTACTTCACCCAAATTCAAATAAAATCATCTATCCAATCTATACCAATCTATTGGTTTCCGATTTGCTTCAGTCGAATTATATAATAGAAATTACAAACACAATATACGAGACATTAATTGGTTTTATGATTTTACATTTCTTAATATTCTGGACATGGTTTTGATGTGGGTACCCAAACACAAAAAACTAAAGATTTTGAAGACAAATTCAACGAATACTTAAAATACGACGGATTCATTGACGTATAAATTGCATAAAAAATGTATCCAAAATTAAGAAAGTAAATCATGATTGAAAATCATAAAAGTAATCATTGTGATGATGTGACTGTGTTCATATAAATATGAAAACCTATATAACTTTCATAAAAAACTTTCCAGTACTTTTGGAGTCTAAAGCTGCAGTGTTAAGAAAATGATTACCTATGGGCTCCTCCCGTGGAAAATTCTACACGCACACACAAATCTGACGGCATGCGTATATAGTGGCACCCTACAACAATAATTGTTATTTTGGTACCTATGGGCAAGACGGCCGAACGTTTGCAGTTTTCTCGCGGACACTGTCCGAAACAGCCAGCCATGTATTTCTCGAGTATTTTGGCGACTCCTCGCGGTGTCATCACGTACCGGGCGTGTATCAGACCGTAGACCAGCTCGGCCGAGGATTGCGAATCAGGATCGTCCTTGCAGGAGCGTGAGACAGGAGCGTCGTCTAGCACAACGCGGACTGCCGCCTCGTAGTCCGGCAACGTTTTCTCCAGCCCGACGTGATTGAACGTGTCCTGGATGTACGGTATGTCCACTGCGCACATGAACGAGTTCTCCGGTTTACTCAACAGCCGTTTGATCCACGACGAGGAATTATGCATATTCTGCGGGACGATTATCCACAGTGCGAATAATAATAATAATTTCGTCGATCGTCACTACCCATAAATCGTTTGTGAAAACGATTTCGGGTGAAAATAAACCATCAGTCGGACTTTATAATGTATGATGTTATAGTATACAGTCACTGATTTTTATTCCGAATTTAAAGACGATAATATTTTTTGTGTATCGTATTAATTTTATTTTTTTTGCAACGTTAATGTGAAAAAGTTAAATTTAAGTTTAAAAATATAAAAATTATGGATCTTAAATCATTAATAACTTTTTTTGTATTAATTTTAACAAAAAAATATAAAAATGACACGATCGCGCAAAAAATATTGTCTATCACACAATACATTATGTACACAATGTACATTATACATTTGATCTCTAAACTATATAAGTTATAACTGATGTAGTTTAAGTGGTTCGCATTTTCGTGCGAAACCGTTTTTCAATAAAATCTTGTTTTATACTCAACATCCAACCATGGCGCTGTGATTTCAGCCTACATAGGATCACTTTTAAACTATTTTAACTGTTGGTGTTTAAAATTGTAATTCTTTTCAGAATATTATTAAAATTGACTACATCGAACCCTTAAAAATCGGGTGCGTGAGTCGTCGTTTTAATGATAAAATCCTCCAGATCACAAGCGACTGCAGTGTGTTAATATAATATTTTCGGTGTGTAATGCATATACCTACCTATAATAGTAAATGTACCAAATTAGGCGACAGTCTGTAGTGGACGGAGCGGTGAGTTTGCCGCCGCTGCTCAATTTGACGAGTTTTGAACGTATACTTGGTATTTAGGTATTTACATAAATAACGGTAACGATGGCCTAGACTTTTTCCGTTGGTACAACAATATTATTGTGGCCAGAATGTACGTTAAACTTTCGTGTATAACTGTGTACCATAACAGCGGCTCGCAGTCGTTTAAATTGGTAGACGGCATTGGATCCAAAACGAGGATAATAATATATTAAAGGAAATAAATAGTACAACGTAGATTCGTAGGTATAAAAAGGCCAACATCACAGGTTCTTTTTATAATACCTGGATGTTCCGTTAAGCCTGATAGAACGTTTATAGAGAGGTACTTTCAACAATACCAAACGCAATCGCGGCTTCTTTTTATCTTGGCTTAATCGACAATTGTAGGTGGTTTTGTGGTAATTTAAATAATATCTCAATTATATGAAATAAGTATTGGACATGATAAGTAAACTTTACTGCAACGCCCGTCAACACAATCCGCACAGTGTCTATGGTGTGTGTTATAATTAATATAATATACAATAGTATATTATATAATATAATATGTATTTATTTATTGTTGTTCATATTTCCGGGGGAGTTATACTTGGATAATTTCGCTTATTGAGTTTTTTTACAGTTATCAACAGACACCTCAAAGAGCGGATTTTTTTAAAGTAACAAACTACAAACTTTTTATAAACTAAAGCCTCCACATTGCTGATACCTCTGAACAGCGGAAAAAATTTCAATGGCCGAGAGTGTTCAGTATTTTTAAATGTCATGTACTTGGATGACTAATCTCGGCCAGATTCGTCCACAAATCGAAGTGCACTGATACCAACTTGTCATAGAACTAAAATCACTGAAATCTAAAAATACAGAGCATCCCTTTATATTTGTTCATTGTTTGTGGAAGTGTTTATTCTCCGCATATTCCATCCATTACAAACACATCTGACTTTTAATTTCGAACTCTTGCATGCCCGGTAAGCTAGATTTTCTCGATAACCATCAAAAAGTCACAAAGGCTGTCGACTAAGTATTATGAACTAATGGTATCACTGTATCAGTCTACAATCTCTTGGGTCTCATTAGGTCAACGTTATGTGGCCTGTTCTAAGAATAGGGTTACCTGATAATCTTTCTATTTTGGTACCCTTTAGAGCAAAAAATATTGCTCACCAACAAGTATTAGGTACAGAAAATTAATAAAACACTCGCTAGTCTTTTAGGGAAATGTTTGCAATTATTAAGAGATGAAGATTAACATTTGACTTAAGACCTTAATAATCTCTATCTAACGAGTATAATATAATATTAATTACATTTTATAGATTTGTATATAAATTGGTAAAATGAAAATTAATAAAAATCAATCTGTATCTATTCGAGCAATGTCGGGTAATTCGGCAAGTATAATTTGTTTATAAAATTGGCACTCAAATTGTTTGGAAATTTAAGAAGATAAACGATAGGTACATAATTTAATTGTGCCTATATCGTGAAAAAGTAACAAAATAATTAAAATGTTTATAGATAACAATTAAGGAGAGCCAAAATAGCGGCTTTGGATACATACTTAAGTGTGTTTAGAACTATACATAAGATGGTAAAAGTTAACTAATGCTAGAATTTAAGTCTGAAACCAATGATTGGGATAACATTGTAGGTATTGATTGATACTATAATAATTTTATTGTTATTGCGGTTTTTGTGTGCTCAATTATTTATAATTTATATCATCATCTATATTACGTACCTATATAAAAATAATAAGCGCGACGTCTCGTTGATAGTGAGCTCGGGGTTACAATATGCCAAAATACTCGCGTATAGCCGTATATATACCTAAGTACCTACATAATATTACATACTTAATATTTATACATATTATCAATATAATAATATGTTGTCAAAATATAGTTTAATAAATAATATTATATATATTTTAAACATGTTGTCGTATTAGGTCTGTGTATAATTGTGTACATATTATATAGACATATTCAAAAATCCGTTGTATCATACTTCGTTTTATTTTATTTTTTTGGCGTTTTGCTTTTCCGATCGATACAGACTACCCATGAGGCTATGAAAGTCTTTTACAATTCTGTACATTCCGTGAATAGGTAGGTACTATTTATTTCTAAATCGATTGCTGCGTGATATAATGTGCCATATGCCAATATACACTTGTGTAATGAAAATGTTAACTTTCTTTTTAATCGGAAAATACTTTATAACATTTACTTACAAGTTTAATATGACGTACGAACTATTTTTAAAAAATCGTTTCCCGTTATACGAAAAAGCATATTCTCGTACAGTCGTTTAAGCACACAAAGAAAATCGCATTCTCGATAATGTGTTTACGCGGTGTGTACATAATTTTTCTTTATTGTACATGCACTTCACCATGTGATCGTTTGGTTTATTCCCGTTAAATAAAATCTAAGAAAATGTACAGGGTCTTCCAAAACATATGCGGTATATGACATTGTTTTCATACAAAACTTGACAAATAGGAAACAATAGTCGTAAACTTATATCCTGTGTGATTGATATTGATTATATTATACTTTTAAGTTATCCTACTATTTAAAAACGGGAATGCTTTTCCGACTTCCTTTTATATTTGATTTTATTTTGAAATGCGAACTCCAAACATCTTCTTTTTAATTTATTATAATATATTATAATATTATTATTATAAGACACCGATTATTCCAATGAGTTATAACCTAATAACTTACAAGTTGAAACTTGTATTCGTATTTTTTTTATTTTTGTCCTTCATTCACAAAGTAGAAGCTGTAACATGGATTTGGAACACCCTTTATAATTGGCTCAGAATTTAACTTCCGGATAATATATTGCAGACCAATACCAGCCGGATCACACAGTATATAATATTTAATTCGGACTTACGACTAGAATAAAATTCGTTTGGTATTTATTTCTAAAATGTTACTCCATAATATATATCTATACATATCTTCTTTATAGTCTAGAAGTCTATACAACAAGTCAACAACTATAATATATTATTATACGATCCGTAGTTACACACACGACACTTTATATTTATTTATGTACATAGCATGTGAGTATAAATATTTATAAGCTCATATTAATACATGTAGGTATTTGATATTTCATAGAGCTCAAAAGACAAATGCAATGCACAGTAGTCCTTCATAAGACCCAAAATTTTTACATACAATGCATCAAATTCAGCTATAATTATTGATCTTCTTTATTGTTAGAACCCCCGAGAACTGTTCTCAGAGTATACAGTGATAATAAATAATAATATTAATACATAATATAGAAATTTAGAGTCAGAAATGGTCATATATAATATTCACAAATCGTTTTTATTTAAATATCTCATGGTTTTATGCTAGTTTTATTATTTAAGGATAGCAAATGGATGCCGGAGTTCTAATATTATGAGTACCTATCGAAAATGTATCTAAAACGTGTTACGAAATTGCAGACGATATCGTAATAGATAACCCGAAATAATTTACTATTATTGATTCAGAAATAGGTATCGTTAAAATAGGTTAAAATAAAGTCTAAACCTAAATAAACGTTAGGTAATAAAGTAAATATTTTATAATAATATATTGTGTATAACGAAAAGACATGATACCCTAAAATCATCAAATATCAAAACCATTGTTCGTACTTCATAATGTTATTATTTTATTACATATTTAAGATGTTTTCATTAATTTATTTAAATTGAAGTATAATTTAATTGTTTTAATTTAATCTCCATAATTTACTCTACGATTTAGTTTTAGGTTATTTAATAATAAATTAAACTAAAAAAATGTGGAACTACATTTAATTACATTTTATATTTTAAAATTACTTATTACATATTTTTAAATTTATTTTTCAATCACATTATAGTTTCTACATTTTTAGCTTAATAGTTATAGTTATATTTATTTCATTTCATTAAAACATGATCATGAATGCGCTCAAATTTTAGTCATTGAAATTTGGATTTTACCAGAATATTACATTGTTTACAAATGTTTACAAATGACAACATTTACCAACATTAGAATAGTTAGAACTAATAATTTAATTGAAAAATCACTTTAAACTTATTGTTTCTTAGCTATATTATAAAATTAATAGTATATATTCACATGTTAGAGTTTTTTTTTAAGAAAACAACAAACAAATGCGTATTTATACACTGTTGCAAAAAC